CGCTCTCGCTCTTGCTCCACGCTTTGGTTAACTAAATTCATCATATCCAAGAACTTGCATTCTCTAGTCTGTCTCTTTTCTGTCAGGGACTTTTCAGTTTGATGACCTCACTCTCCATTACTACTTTTTCTCAACAAATCTGGATAATTTTTATGGACCATTGTGGAGATGGAGAAATGAATCGCTGTTTGCCGCCCGTGGTTATACTATTTGTCGCCCATAGTTACAAAAATATGAAAAATTTGCCTCTTCTCCATTTTAAAAACCCTAAACCTATCTATTTCCCAACCCAACCCTCACACCCTTCCTTCCCAAACCCTTCCACCTGCTCTCTCTCAAGCCTCGTCGCCGACCAGTCATCATCCCGCCACCGACCACCACATCATCCCACCACCGTCCTCCATGCCGGCCAGTCAAACCGCCGCTGACCACCACAACATCTCGCCGTTGCAGCCGTCCACCCTCCGTCGGACCGCCCAAATCGTCGTCGTCGTCTGCGAGAGGTATTTTAGGTTCCCCCCGCTAGTAACTGATAGAAGCGGCGGTCCGCCTGGAAGGATCGAACCCCGTCCGCCGCTTAGGGTCCGATCTCGTCCGCCGCTTCGGGTCGAACCGCGTTCGCCGGGTCGGGTCGGACCGCGTCTGCCGGGTCAGGTCTGACTGTTTTGGCAGGTGCTGACCGGTCCGGTAGAATATATTTTTTATTTTAAATTTTTCTATTTAACAAAAAGTACTACTTAATTGATATTTAGATTGTTAGCATAATAATTAGTATTTAATTATTAGTTACGAAATCGTAAATGTAAAACAGTGATGTTAAATAGTGTTTGTAATTTTTAATTATTTAATTGTGTAAATGTTCAATTTTCCAATAGTTAAAAAGATATAACATTGTGAACAAATTATAGAAATTCAATTGTTAGTATATAATTGTTAGTTAAATAATGAGTATTTAATTGTGAGAATGTTCGATTTTTCAATTATGGACAAATCTTCTATTTAAATTTGCAAATGTTCAATTTGGTAAATTAGTTAGTTGAATAATTAGTATTTAATGTTAGTTAAATAATTATTTATCATATTGAATTAAATAAAGCCTATATAAATGTGTATTTAATTAAAGTAGCAAACTATCTATCATATTTTGTAAAATAATTATCTATCATATTTAGTGAAATGACTATCTAACTAAATTAATTAGTTAATAAGTTGTATGTATCATAATTAGTCTATGAAAAAAAATTGTTAACAAATTGCTCAAAAATTCATTTATTATAAGATATTAATATATAATTATTTACTACGTTTATAGATGGCGTCAGCTGGTGATGTTGGATGAATAGGAAAGAAATTGTGGAGATTCGATGGGCGTAACAATAGTATGAGTGATAGAAATTAGAGTCAAAGGGTAGAAATAGGTTGGGAGAGCATTAAGAGCCTGAGAATGAGCCACAACTACATCAGCTAGAGTCACTGATGAGATTGGGGGCAGATGACTTTCCTCGGTTTGATTTTCAGTTGCCTAGTATGGTTGGTAGTGGAGGTCGTTCCAGTCACAACTTTGGGACAAGGGATCGGCATACTTCACCGTTTGAGCCGTTAGACGAGATTGACGACGAGTCTGAGTAGTATGAGTCGGATGTTGTTGAGGATGCATTCCACGAGGCAGTCCGAACAAAGATAGTGGTGCCGCCAGCGGATTGTCACACGCCGTTACTGGGATTCACAGAGACCATGCGGGGCGTTTCTACATAGATCCACAACCCGGTGAGGGTCAGAGGGGTGATGGTGATGTGGGAGAGGGGTGGGAGCTTAGAGGACCGTGTGTTGGAGGGTCGAGCGATCCGAGTTTGCTTCCTAGCTTTCTTGGGCATGTTGCCCACCTTCTTTACATGGGACAGGTTGATAAAGGGGTGATCACTTGCTACGATAGGAGTTCGACACTTCAACACATTCTACAGCGTTACGTGATCGCAGATTCTCACGCTAGGGGTACCCTAGAGACATTGGGCCTTGCTCACCTCGCAGATATCACCTTTCAGAGCGAGCTGGACATTGTTCTCATATCGGCATTTGTGGCGAAGTGGCAGCCGGATCCCAACACCTTCCACATGCCGTTTGGAGAGATGATGATCTTCCTTCACAACGTGGTGCACATCCTTGGCATTTCGATTGAGGGAGAGGCGATGACAGCGAATCCGAGGCAGTTGGAGAAGATGTCATTTTAGGATGACATGCGAGCACTTTTGGGCGTGGATCGTGCGGATTTGGGCCAGTGGGCGCAGGTGGGAGAGGTTGCCAGAGATTCGAAGGGGTATAGAGGGCATGGTTTGTTGGGTGTGGTAGATTTGGCTCATTTGTAAGAATTTTGCCCGCCAGCTAGAGAGGCTCAGTGTTACCTTCTTCTGCTGTTGTGGTCCACACTGTTCGTAGATTAGAGTAAGGACCGTGTTTCTTCTGTTATAAACTTGTTTGTGAAGAGGTCGGAGATGCTGAGAGAGTATGCGTGGGGGTTAGAGTACTTGCTTATCTGTATAGGAAGCTTGGTATTGCCTCGCGGCGGAGGCTAAGGGAGTGGCGGGTTGTCTGACTTTACTACAATGTTGGATTTACGACCACTTTCCTACCTTGAGTCGTAGTCGGGTGGAGCCACGACAACTGGATCAGGGGGAGGCAGGAGCACTCAGTTGGCACGATATCTCACTTCAGTCGACAAAGAAGAAGGATACACTCATGTTGGCTTATTATTGTCAGGCGATTGATAGTTTGACCCCACAACAGGTTGTTTGGACTCCTTATGGTCCGTCGCCTCATCTGAGCGTGAGGCGTACCTTGTCTCAGGGCATGATCGGATTTGTAGAGCTAGTAGAGTCATATGATCCCACTAGATGCCTCCGACAGTTAGGATACGTGCAGAAGGTACCGTATCAACCAGAGCGTCCGCTTGTTGTGAGTCGACCTGCTTCCACGATTGGATACTTTGTTAGCTACCACTCAGTTTATGATTTGTGGTGGAACAATCTGGGGGGGGGGACATAGTGTGCATCTGGAGTTTTTTTGTACTCCGGTACGACGTATTCCATAGGAGGTTACTGAAGACTACTTTGAGTGTTACCTTAGGCACTCGCACCCACAGATATTGAGTAATAGCCGACCTCGTCGCGAGTTCGCGGCATGGTCCATGAAACCCTACCGGAGACCGTACCGGGAAACTCAGCGGTAGGGTAATTTATGGTAAAATTGTGGTTTAACCGTAGTTCAACCGTTGTACCGTTAAATACCGCCTACCGGTTAGCCTCTTATACTAGTATTTCGTGGTTGAACAGCCGGTACGGTACGGTTTCATGAACCACGGTTCGCGGATGCTGATGCAGTTAGTACAATCATATTTGAAATTTTTTGTATTAAGTAAAAATATGGTTCAAAAAGTCGCTAGGCGTAAGGCGGGCGTTGAGCCTTTGCCTAGCGCCTAGCTCGCCTAGGCGTAGCCTAAGCGTGCCTAGGCGTTGGGAGAAAAATAGTTATTCGCAGTGCATGATGAATGAAATAATAATCTACAACACTTCCTCAATTCAGTTAAAATGATAAATAACTTACTCAACACTTAATAGCAAGAATATAGTTCACGAAGTCATAGAATCATAGCTCAATAGCTCGCAAAGTTCTTGAACTGTTGAAAATATTGATATGAAAAAATGATTTTGTAGTTGATGTTAATTTTCTCCTTCAATATTGACTTCCTAGCTCCATCTAGTAATCTTTAGGAGAGACTTATATGTCGCCTTACTCCATTGAAGTGTTCCATTATATAATTAGGCGCGAAACCACTAGGTGAGGCGTTTTGTCATTGCCTTGCGCCTAGGCGTGCCTAAGCGTAAGGTTGAGCGTGCCTTTTTGAACCATGAGTAAAATTATGTTTGATTGCAACTAATATGTATATATAAATTGTCTGGTTTTTCCTTACAGTTGAGACGCGAGATGTGGATTGAGATAGCTCCCATGATGGATGGTGCTATGGGTAGCAGGGGGAGTGGCATGCTAGGTCCGACGAGTACTATGACTTATGTCATGGAGTTGGAAACATGTGGTCCTAGTATAGGGGGATGTCGGGTTTTCTACCACCTCCACAGTAATTTGATGTTTGTTATGTGACTATTTATGAGTGTCGTTCGTTGTTTTTTAGATATTTGACTATGACTTATGTTATTATGTTGTTCTCCTATGACTTATGTTATTCTATTCTTCTCCTACGACTTTTATTATTACATGTATCGTACTATGAATTATGTGTTTATGTTGTACTTGGGATGTTTTTATTATATCATGTAGTAAAACATGTTTCCTTGTGATGTAAGCAAACTGAGATAACTGGACATTTTTATTATTTAATCATGGTACATCGGGATCTCTGTTGATACATGTCTATTTTTTTGGACCCTCTAGGATTTATGCCATGGACCTCTTTACTCGCCACCCCTAATATCTAATCACAGTTGACTAAACGCTTGGAAATATTTATCCCATCCAATGACGCTATCTTGCCTAATGCCCTCCCACATGTATTGTATAGGGGGTAGCGATATCCTGTTAGTCGAGAAAGATAGGTTCAGCCAATGATCCTGGACGAAATGCACAATGACTCCTCTAGGACCGGTTTCCCCAAATAGGTTGTCTATTGGCAGGATGGTACAGTTGTACGTAGTTGGCGTGGGGTGGAGGATATTGTTGTACATGACAACAACCAAGTTAAAGATTGTGGCAAATACGAATAGATCCACACCCATCATCCAGTGATGTATGCTTGTTGCCTTTCTAGTAGCGATGTCGATGCGAGTGATTGATGCAACCACATCCGCGCCATACATGTTAGCCTATCGCCAAACGTGCTGACGAATTTCTTCGCTGATTAGTCGCCTCACCTCTAGGAACCCATCTTGATTACCAAATAATGCAAAACTAAGTGCACAAAACCCACAATGATCGTCTGGCGCGGGGTCATGGAAGACAACGATATGGTCCCAAATGAAGACAGGAAGCAGATACAAGTGTGCGTATTGCGCTTGCCTGCTGGATCCAGGTATATCTGCGTCGTGGATAGAGAATCAACACAAAATTTATGTAATATCAGGTAACAACACTTATGGTTTGCTGATGTGAACCTGTATGAGGACCATTGCATTTGTTGTTGTCATCGGGATCATTAAATGCCTTGTCGACTGACGGGTACTCATCTGTTTGAGTCCTCGTGGACTTGGTATTCGTCGACCTTGAAGACCCCGACGTTGTGATTCTTGACTTGTTTTTCATGTTTTTCTTCTTACCACGCAGTATCTTCTCATACCAACTTTTATTTATTCCAGTTGAATTTTTGCTTGGTCGCTCCCTCCTAGTTTCGTTCACTTCTGGCTCGTGAATGTTGTCTTCTGCTGTGTGGAGTCTGCGAAACACGTTCATTGCTGCTTTTTGCGTTGCCTCTGGCCCTCTCCGTACACCCTCATCAACCAACTCCTGAAGGTGACGTTTAGCTTCATGTTCGTGGGGCATGTACTCCTAGGCATTGGGTGGGTGCTCGTATGTCAGTGTCTGCCAAAAAAGATGAAGATCACCTGTGTATATCTCTATGTCTCACGCTCTGCCATCCATAACCTGGCATCCACATTTCAAGCCGTGTGTCACAAAGAAATGACATGCACATCGAGAGTTCTCATTTTTTTTTTCAAACGGGCCATCAGAATTTCTTCAACCTCCTTCATCAGTATAATTGCCTGCGTGCTTACCTTCCTCCTCAAGTATGTGAAGGGTGTACCTTGTGCTGCTAAAATACTTTTTTTCGAGAGTTTTCCAACATCGTCCTAACCTCCCCCAGTTGGTTAGTAATGTAGTGGTGGTTTCCTTTCCATACAGTGTCTATAGACCCCCGTGAGTTGTGAAGGAAAGTTTTTAATGATGAATGTGATGACTCAACCCTGTATGTGTTGGTATTTCCTAGATAAAACACTTGTTTGGTATGACAAAACTGCCCACTTCTCTCGATGCGGCCACCACACTCGCTGTATGTATTCCAACATACGTGGATTGTCATTGCTCCATCTCGCCCTAAAGCGGCCAAACGCGGCCAACATACCTTGCTCGGACCAAGAATAAAACAAAAAACACCAACCTTCATTGTAAGCCTTGTTGACTAAATCCATCTTGTCATTCCCATATATTTCTAGAAACTTCGCCTGCACATTAGTGTTGATGTGCCAAACAGATAGCACATGTGGGGTGTAGGGGAAGACACTAGAAATTGTAGCATGTAGTCCACCTTCATGGTCGGTGATGATGGCAGTGGGCACGCGTGGACCGAGCAATTGTTTTATGCACACCAACAACCAATGAGACGCATCTTTTGTCTCCTCCTTCATGATAGCACAACATATGTTGAAATTCTTCCCAACAAGAGTAGCACCTACGACCTCCACACACGACATTTTATACGCATTAGTCTTCTACGTTGAGTCGATGAGAATCACGTACGGCCAAGCCTTCAACATCTGGATGAATGTCGGATGGGCAAAAAAGAAAAAAGATGGGCCAGCACGTCGTTATCTTCTTTCGTAACCTCTATATGATAATTCTCACGTTCAGCTGCTTGCAACGCATAATAGACTGCATTCATCTCGCCCATGTCGTCTCCTAAACCTGGACCTGAGGTTATAAAATTGCCTTTTGGTGTGATGCCCTTTGTCACCCTTTTGCATGTTCATTGTCTGCTTCTGTTTCGCCGGAGATATCCCAGCATCTCTCATATGCTTGATAGATTCTTTATCCTCCTGACTGAATTTCTTCATCTGACTGTGGCCCTCCGGATAAAGCATCTTCTCATGATTGTGATACCCACGCCTCAAACCGGTTTTCATTTCAATCACTTCTTGTATCTCCCAGAATGTCGTTCCATTAAGAGCATCTGGATAAAAAAGTAGTTCTTTGATTTTAACCCTGAAAATTCAACCGCTCCCTTTTGAACTTGTATTGCCACGACTCTCCTTGGTCAAATACGGCTTGTAAGACTTCCTCTCCCTACTACATCTGTCGCAATACATGTAACACATACCTAGCTCTCTTTTGTTAAGCAACTCACGTGGCTTCATCGAGCCTTAATTAGAAAGAAACCAAGAGACATCGTGATGTTTTTTGTCACTGTTCTAACATCTTCTAAATTAATTGGACGCCATTGAGGAAATACTCTGTGTAATAATCTGTTAGTTCAACGTTGTAAGTCATGTCTACCTGCAATTATGATTTTACAACTCATTAGAAAGAAATTTTATGATGCAACACAACTAAATAATGAATCAATTAATACTAAATCAATTAACTCTACAAAATAAAACCAAACACAATAATTTAATTAACTCTACAAAATCATGATAATCTAACGATAGGTAATTTAATTAAATATAAATTATTAAACGAAATTAGCTATAGGAAATAAAACTAAACAGAATCATTTAACTCTAAACAAGTTATCTCTATAACGAAACACAATCACTTGATTAAAACTATATACGAAATTAACTCAAACTCTGTAAAATAAAACTAAAAGCAATAAATACAATCTAAATTATTAGCTCTAAAATTAATAATTATAAATAAACATAACTAACACTATGAAATTAATTTTTTTTTGTGAGAGTATATGCAATTAATTTAACTCTAAATAAACATAAATACCTAACATTATAAACATAAACATCAATTAACTATAAAATAAACATAATATTTAACAAAATACAAAAAAAAGCTGACCCGTCTGCTCATCGGCGGACCCCTGCTCTGGTCGGACGAGATTTTTCTAGCTTCGGTCGGATGGGGTCCGCGAGCTCCGTTCGGACGGGGTTCGACGACAACACACGTCTGACGCCGGTGAATGGACAACGTCCTACAACTGCGAGCGGATGGAGCTACAAAGACTTCAAAATATAGAAAAGGTGTTACTGATGTCGGAACGAGGCTCGTCAGCGATTTCTTCCTCGGACGATAGTGGTTGCGCGCTGTTTGCGGCGGCCGTTGCTCCAACAGTTGGGTTGGGTGGTGGTGGTGTGAGGATAGTAGGATTTAGTGATTGGTTAAAAAAATGTTTCAAATGAATATAATATGAATAAAATATGAAGGACAAAAATGTAATTTTAATTTAATACACGGACGACAAATAGTAAAGATGCGGGCGGCAAATAACAGCCATCAATAGAGAATCATCTTCCAAATATGAAATGGTGGGCCATATCCAAATTCTTTCTAGAGCCGGAGAGAGACAATGAGAAAGACAAGAAAGAGTGATTGAACACTGGCTTCTCTTCTAAAACGTTTTTAACTCTTTGAACACAGTCTGAGCGACCACCACCAAGCACTATCTTAATACTTTTTAAAGTGATAATGTAGTTACTATTGCATTAGAGAATGGGTAGAATGACAAGCACTTTTAATTTTGTAGGTGACAACCAGCCCTAAATTACACACGTGGCCATTATAAATTTTTTAACGCTGATTTTCATTAAAATCAGAATTTTTATGCTTTTGTGGTCATTTTAGATTAACTTTATCTAATCTACTTTTCCTTTTCTACCTAGAGAAAATAATCTCCTACTTTCTTTTTTAATAGTGTGCTTTTTCTCTCTCATTCTTCCTCCTCACCAAAATGCAAGGCTTTTTTGTTCTTTTGGTGTTCTTTCACTCTTTTGGTTAGAGTATTTGATGCTACAATCGTAGTTCAGTCGTGGTTAAAATCAAGTTTAACATGTTCCAACTCGATCCTTGATTTATGTTCAAAAAGAAACTAACAATTATAAAATCATAACAAAGGTCGTACCAAAAAAGTTAGCATTAGTATATTTTGTACTAAAACTGTAGTTCAATAGTGGTCAAATCAGACTTGACACTTTGCACCAACCTGAGCCTCAATGCATGTTTAGAAAAAACCAAAAATTATAAAATCATACCGGAAAATTTAGCATTAGGCCATTTTGTGCTAAAATAGTAGATTCATCGCAATCATTTCATACAACTAAAATCACCTATCGATTTAGATTTTGTTAGGAATTTTTTGATTGAACCACCAGTACGGTACAATCGTAGTTCAACCGTGATTAAATCCGGCTTGATACGTTGCTCCAACCCGAGCCTCGATTTTTACGTTAAAAGAAAACCAAAAATTGTAAATCCATACCTAATGTCGTACCGAAAAAGTTAGCATTATAGTATTTTGTGCTAAATTATAGTTCAACTGTGGTTAAAATCGGGACATATTGCTCCAACCCTAGACTCAATTAATGTTAAATTTTTTTTGTAAAAGCACACCGAAGGTCGTACCGGAAAATTTGGAATTATGATATTTTGTGCTAAAATCATAATTCAAATCGTGGTTAAATAGGGTTGATACGTTGCTCCAACTCGAGCCTCTATGTATGTTCAGAAAAAATAAAAAATTGTAAAACCATACCGAAAGTCGTACCGGAAAAATTAGCACTAGATCATTTTGTGTTAAAATTGTAGTTCAACCGTATAATTTCATACCATTAAAATCCCTTACCAATTTAAATTGGGGATTGCTAATTATCGCCCTACTTCTATTATAATTGCCCTAATTTTAAAATGTAATGACCTCTTTACCCTTCTATTTTTATTGTGTAGATATTTTGTGCTAACAAATCCAACCCAAAAAAGAAATTACATTTGCTGCCATCATTATCTGCCGCCTACATTCATTTGCCGCTCCTACCCACCGCTGGGCGCTGTGAAATAAGCCGGCGCATCAAAAGCTGGCTCGACAAAACAATTAAGCACACTATGATTATCACCCAACAGGCTAGCATACAAAAGATAGATATTATTATTATTATCACATTTATATTATTAGGACCTTGACAACCTTACTGGAGGACAATGAGCGGCAGGAAGATACATCCCGATGAAATTAATCGAACCATTAGGGCGGTAGAGGACCATGAGGGCGGTAGGACACAAGAGCATCGTGAGGTGGCAATCCTCAATTTAATCCACCAATCAATTAAAAATATTCATCTAATCCAATTCATTTAAATCCAATCCATTTGATCCAAATCTAATTGGATTGGTGGATTCATGGATTGATTCATGAATCCAAATGGCAAATTATGGTTTGGTACTTATATTTTTATATTTTACATTTCGGTACCCAACATTTAATTTTTTATACTAAAAATATCATTGGAAAATTACGTTTTGGTACCTTAAAATTTTTATTTATGACATTTTAGTACCTAAACTTTTCACATTTTATATATTGGTCCTTGGTTGAGGATGTCATTTGGATTCATGGTTAATCCACCAATCCACTTGATCCAATCCATGAATCCATTGAATCCAATCCATTTGATCCATGGATTCACCAATCCAATCCACCAATTCATAGATCAATCCATTTGTCACCTCTATTTGGAGTGCTCCCAATCGGCGGTGGAGGGTCGTTTGGATTGCAAGTGGTCGGCGGCGGAGGTCGTTTCACGTGTGGGGGTTGCGTCGGCCGATGATATCTTGTCAGTTGTCAACGAAGATGGAGAAAGACCAAAGATTTTAGGGCTTGGTTAATAGAGGACAATATTGCAATTGCACGTTGTAAGTTAGGGCGAAAATAGTAAAACTAGGACGACATTTAGCCATTCAGTTTAAATTATACTAGGAGTTTGTCTATTAAATCACTTCTAAACGCAATTACGGTTAACAAATAATTCTATTAACAAATAATACATCTAATCCTATTACAAGCCGAGGCACATAATTTACCTAGTATATATAAACAGAAAAGAGGATCAAAATTCAAAACGCTTATTCTTTTACTTGCGCTCTGTTTGGCAACAGGGGGGTGCAAATTGCAGGAGGGTGCAAGTTGAGGGGTAAATTGCTGGGGGGTGCAAATTGCTGGGGGGTGTAAGTGGAGGGGTAAATTGTTGTTTGGATGAAAAAGTAGGGGGGTGCAAATAAAATGCAAAGTAAGTAATTATATTATTTTAAAATAGATTTTAAAATTATAAAATAGATTTTAAAATTATAAAATATTATCATAAAATAATAAAATAAATATTACTATATAATAATAAATATACTTTACTAAATAGTTATTATATAATAATGCTCAAATAATAATTAATTATAACAATTGTAATAATCATTGATCGAGCGATCTCAAAACTCGAAGCTCAACTCGTAACTGGTCATCCTATATAGGGTTTTCGTGTCTAGTTTAATCTTAAATTGTCAAACTTAGTTAAACACGTTCGAATTTGTAAGTTTTAACTATTTAGTCAAATAAAATGAGTTAACCAAACAATTTCTCTCTATCTTTTCCACAAACACCTTGTATATCTAATTACAAATTCGATTCAACCAAGAGATCTAGATTTGACTTGACGAACATTTATAAACTTGTTTCCGGAGTCAAATGGTCAGCCCCGAATAATGTTTACATTAATGATATTTATAAAAAGAAGAAATTGATAATATTAGTTATTATATAATTATATATAACACAATTAGAAAAACAAAATTCCATAATTCCCCCTCCCCCTCTCTTCCTTCCTTCTTTTGCACCCCAATTCGGGGGGCAAGCCGAAACAGTAAATTTGCACTCTCGTTTTGCACCCCTACTGTTCCAAATTAACCAAACATGTGCAAATGTGTTGGAAACTGTGTTTACCCCTCACATTTGCACCCTCCTCCCATTTACCCCTCTTCCCAAACAGAGTGTTGGGGTTTTCCATCTCGCATCGGGCGTCCCCTTGATCCGTCCTTCCCTCTCCGGTACGTCGATTACTGAATTATATATTCCGTACCCTGGCTGTTAATGTGCAGTTTTAGAACCCTAGATCGTGCGACACGATTCTCATTCTAGGTGAATTTTCGTCTCTCAGATTCTTCTGTAACCGAAGGAAGGATACGGACGGGGTACAATTGTGCAGGGGCGTGAAGGCCGTAGGTGATATCAGTTCTGTGATTGAAGGTGAAAGTTTGAGGTTTTGTGGAGGAATCTTTGTTGGTTGAGGGATTTCTTGAACTGGGGTTTGATTCGAATCCATTTGTGTATCTAGGACCTCAATTCTAGCTTCTCCTGCTGCTGATGAGGATTTATAGCCCTCGGACACCTTAATCAGCCTGGAAATGCTTGTGCTGGAGCTTCCATTGAACTGTTACTGTTGAGCCTCACTTTTTCTTATTGATCTCTTCAGTCCTCCTGTGTGGACGTTTGCGTTGGTTTCTTCCGACTCCCTGGCTGCTTGCAAGTAGAGAGCTTTAAGTTCTAATGGCTAATCCACAGCAACCTTCCCGAGGGTATTCTGTTGGGAATGGGATCAGTCCCTCCAACCCTGAAACATCAATCGCTACACCTGATACAAGTCGTATAATTTCTTCTGCTCAAGTATTAAATGGGCCTCCCAGATTTCCTCCCCCCAAGGTGCAACACCATCACCTTTCCCCTTCCGTGAAAACCCCAACCTTGATGTCACCGGCAAATGGGGTTTCAACTGGAAGCCCAATTCCTCACTTGAGCACTCCACCTGGCCCTCCGGTCTTCGTTTCACCTCTTCGGCCTGCTGCAGTACCTTTCCGGACTTCCCCATCAACTCCTCAACCAGTTGCACTCTCATCAGGATCATCCCTGCCCACTTCATCTCCTCCCAATTTCTCAAATGGCTCACCTCTGTTGGATCCCCAGCTTCCCCAACCTCAAGCAACAAAGGAGAACTCTTCTATTGAGGAATCACCATGTGTGTTATTCTCGGCAACTTTGGTATCTCTCTCACTTTACTTGTTTACCTAGTTATTGCAATGCCACCGATCAATCAAGGTATCTGCATATCTGAATTTAAAAATATTTTGATTGCTCAATCAAACTGGCACATTATCTGATTTCAAAAGCTAGTGAACTGTTTCTTACAGTCCCTCAAACATTTACCTCCTTCAACTTTTTTTTTATTGACAATTACCTCCTTCAACTTGATGTAGGTTTTGAAGCAGAAAAAACTCTCAAATGCTGCAAGTTTGGGTTTTGGGGCTTTGATTTCCCCTGGGCGAGAGATCTTACAAGGTCCCCAAATTATACAACGTGTGGCCCATCGTTGCCAAAACTGCGGAGCTTATGCTAATCTGTATTGCAAGATATTACTCGGTTCGGGCCAGTGGCAATGTGTGATTTGCATGTCATTAAATGGAAGTGACAGGGAATATGTAGCACCAAGCAAAGAAGATCTGCGCAACCTTGCTGAACTTTCGTCTCCAATTGTTGATTATGTTCAACCTGGGAATAAGAGACCTGGTTTCATTCCAGTTTCTGACTCTAGAATGTCTGCGCCCGTCGTTCTTGTGATTGATGAGGGCTTGGATGAGCCACACCTGCAGCATTTACAAAGCTCCTTACATGCATTTGTTGATTCTCTTCCTCCTACATCAAGAATAGGAATCATAACGTATGGCCGCGTAGTATCAGTTTATGATTTTTCAGAGGAGTCATTTGCTTCCAGGAGATAAATCACCCAATCCGGAATCCTTGAAAGGATTAATCTACGGGACTGGTGTGTATTTGTCACAAATGCATGCTTCAAATGAAGCAGCACATAGAATATTCTCGTCATTGAGATCATTCAAGTTGGACATCGCAGAAGCTTCAAGGGAACGTTGCCTGGGTGCTGCCGTTGAAATAGCTCTAGCTATAATTCAGGGTCCATCGGCAGAGATGTCCCGGGGTGTAGTCAAGTGGCCAGGGGTTAATACCAGGATAATTGTATGCGCTGGTGGACCTAACACCTATGGCCCTGGATCTGTTCCTCACTCCTTTGGGCACCCAAACTATGCACACCTTGAAAGTACAGCCTTCAAATGGATGGAACATCTGGGCCGTGAAGCTCAAAGGCACAATACCGTTGTTGATATTCTATGTGCAGGAACTTGCCCAGTTAGGGTTCCAGTTCTGCAGCCTCTTGCTAAATCTTCTGGCGGTGTTCTGGTTCTTCATGACGACTTTGGTGAAGCCTTTGGTGTGAACTTGCAAAGAGCAGCTTCCAGGGCATCAGGTTCTCATGGTCTTCTGGAGATTCGATGTTCTGATGATATCCTTGTTACACAAGTCATCGGTCCTGGGGAAGAGGCAGAACATGAAGACATCAGTGAATTTAAGAGTGATACTTCTCTTTCTATTCAGATGTCAAGTGTTGAAGAATCTCAGTGCTTTGCATTGTCAATGGAAAATAAAGGCGACATCAAGAGTGATAGTGTGTATTTCCAGTTCGTCATACAATTTTCAAATGTTTATCAAGCAGATGTGTCGAGGGTCATAACAATTAGACTAGCTACTACAGACAGTGTTTCAGCATATCTTGACAGTGTCCATGATGAAGTGGCTGCTATACTGATTGCTAAGAGGACTCTGTTGCGAGCCAAAAACTCTGCCTATGCAATTGATATGCGGGCATCAGTAGATGAGCGTATCAAGGATGTCGCTCTGAGATTTGGTGCTCCAGTGCCTAAGTCAAAACTTCGAAGATTCCCCAAGGAACTCTCCTTGTTGCCTGAGCTCCTTTTTCATCTCAGAAGAGGGCCGTTGTTGGGAAGCATTGTTGGCCATGAGGATGAACGCTCTGTGTTGAGGAACTTGTTTCTGAATGCATCTTTTGACCTTTCACTCCGTATGGTAGCACCGCGATGTCTCATGCACCGAGAAGGAGGCACTTTTGCGGAGTTGCCAGCCTATGACCTCGCAATGCAATCTGACACAGCTGCTGTTCTTGATCACGGCACTGATATCTTCATTTGGTTGGTATGTCATCATCTTCTTGTGCTCCACAATGTACTGGTCTGTTACAGATCCCTTACATTTGTTATCAGTTTGGTGGTCTGATGGCCTTTCCATCTATTTTAGCCAGCAGAGTAATAATTAGCTGTCCTTCTCCTGAAGCGATAGCCATGATAATAGCTAATAGGAAAGCAAAGTATCTAGAGATCTCTTCATTCTACATACATGGCTCTGCTTTTCTTGACTGTGAGAAACTGACCTTTGTGAAACTGGTGATATATGCTGAAGTTAAGAGTAGTTCTGCAACTTTTGTTGTAGTTATGCACGCAAGCTACCTACAAACATATCTGTAGTTAACAGGTTTCATGAAAAACTTTACTTGGGTAACATGTTAATCTTTGTAATTTTACCATTGATTAAATGGTACCGTGTTGATTCTGGAAGTATGTAGACCGTTGTTTGTTTGATATTCACATCATATCCACCATAATAAGGAGTTTGTCTGCCCTTTCATAATCATTGAGGACAGGGTGCAGAACTAGCTGTGGATGACGGTAGAAGTGCAGCAGCATTAGCAGCTTGCAGAACGTTGGCTGAAGAGCTCACTGAATCACGCTTTCCAGCTCCTAGGATTCTTGCTTTCAAGGTTCCTATTCTTTGATTTATCAGCTTTTCTTGTGTGTCTTTAGTTTATCCCATGCATCATATATTTTATTGTTTGGTTATGTTCTAATGATGATGTATTCTAATACTTACTAATACAGGAAGGGAGCTCCCAGGCACGATATTTTGTCTCACGACTGATACCAGCATACAAAGATCCTCCTTATGAACAGGTAAGAATTAAAAATGAGTTGTGCACATCTTCGTTAAGGGAACCTGCTTTACTTTCAGATGATGATGTAGCTATTGTGATGATGTATCTGTAGGAAGCAAGATTCCCGCAGCTTCAGACTTTGACAATGGAACAGCGGATAAAGCTGAAAAGCAGCTTTCTGCACTTTTATGATCCCAGTTTCTGTGAATGGATACGAAGCTTAAAAGTTGTGCCACCAGAACCAAGCTAAACTAAGGGAGGTCTGGAAAACCAACACCAATTTTTTGCAGAATTTGTAACCTCGAAAAGAAGGGAAGGCTCAAGGGATGCATGGGATTGCTACGTTCCTGCTTGAGCTGATTTGCATGCCCTCATGTTTGGAAGGGAAGTCACCTGGACAACATTGAATAGAGATTTGGCTATATCTCAAATGGAAACGCCACCAAAGTCACTTTGGGTTTTCGTTTTGTAGTGTCCAAAGGGTTTTACATGTGCAACTATTTTGTGATGGGGGCAAAGTGAGATGGAGACGTTTACTTCTGCTAACCGAAAATTTGTGGGACTGCCTGAAGTAGGGGTGGGCAATGGGCGGGTTGGGTGGGTTTTGGTCTCAAATTGACCCACCCACTTACTAGCGGGTTGAAATAATTTTGACCCGTAATCCACCCACATACTTCTGCGGGTTGGGTGGGTGGCGGTTGGGTGCGGTTGGGTCGCGGGTCAACCCGCAAAAGCAATTCTTCAACTAGCCATTAAGAAAGTTGACTAACATTTATAATAAGTTCAAAGCAAAATTAGTAAGACTGTATCATTAATTTGTGATTTTGATACAATTAATAATTTATAGTTTGCATCCCAATATTTCATGGTTATTAACAATAATCTGCATACCAATATCCAATATCTAATGGATACGGCACAACACAATGACCCATAATAGTAGTCAAAAATATTATTTATTCTTCATATTTTGAAGTATATGGTCAGACTATAGTGCAGTTCGAAAATATGATGAATATTCGATACTATAAGAAATAACATTTTTTTCATGTAAAAATAGGATGCGGGTCATATGGGTGACCCGCAATCCACCTACCATCCACTCACATACATGCGAGTGGGAGATTTACCAATCCGCAATCCACCCACATCCACCCACCATTTATGTGGGTGGATGGTGGGTGGATTGCGGGTCACCCATATGACCCGCATCCTATTTTTACATGAAAAAATGTTGTTTCTTATAGTATCGAATATTCATCATATTTTCGAACTGCACTATAGTCTGACCATATACTTCAAAATATGAAGAATAAATAATATTTTTGAATACTATTATTGGTCATTGTGTTGTGCAGTATCCATTAGATATTGGATATTGGTATGCAGATTATTGTTAATAACTATTAAATATTGGGATGCAAATTATAAATTATTAATTGTATCAAAATCACAAATTAATGATATATTCTTACTAATTTTGCTTTGAACTTATTATAAATGTTAGTCAACTTTCTTAATGGCTAGTTGAAGAATTGCTTTTGCGGGTTGACCCGCGACCCAATCGCCACCCACCCAACCCAACCCGCAGAAGTATGTGGGTGGATTGCGAGTCAAAATTATTTCAACCCGCTAGTAAGTGGGTGGGTCAATTTGAGACCAAAACCCACCCAACCCGCCCATTGCTCGCCCCTAATTAGTAGTGACCAAATGCTGAAGATCTTTTGCTGTCAACTGCTCCGACTGCCACCCATGGCATCGTCACCGTCAATCACCTTCACCTCATGGATCTCGCCTCCCGCTCTGTGCAATAGTCGAGGTGATTTTACTTAATGGTACCTTAAATCCAGCCTTATTTGTTTTGTCCCTGAAATATCAAATCATTACATTGCAAACCTATATCTTTAAAAGTGTGTCAATGTGGGCCAATCAACTGGGTTGACCCTCGAGCCAACCAGTAACCCATAACTCATGTGCTTGTTCGCATCAACGGTTTGATTTGGCTATATGAGTTAACAGCCTTGCTTAGTTTAGATTTAGTTACCAACTAAACAACCATTAATATTACTCACAACGCAAGCTTTTAATTTATAGTTATATTAAAAATTATATTTAGATTATGCGACATGCATGTCACCATAATTTGCACTTTTAGGTCGACCTCGTATAGGATTGGTCGACCTAATCTGCACTTTTAGGCCGAGCTCATATAGGATTAGGTCGACCCAATATGTCGTTTCAGTTTTGTGAGGTTCCCGAATACACTAATGTCGGCACCCTGATGACTTACCACGGTCGACCTTTAAAATGTAGTGTCGACCATTTGTAGTTTAAGTTGTCATTGTTGGTCGACCACAATAAAACATCGGTCGCCCTTTTCATTAGCGTTAGAATCAAAATGGTCGACCGTAAAGGTATATAGGTCGACCACTTGATGGCGGTCATTAACAAAATGGTCGAAGAAGTAGTTTCTCACACTAGGTCGCCCCCCCTTCTTCCTTTCAGCTGGCCTTTTATACTGAGACGAGCCCAGTTCACGGCCCAAGTTCACGACCGTGAACATCAAAAAGCGTCCATGAACACAGTGTGCTGAACCAAAATGCACCGCTTCACTTCTTGGGTTCACGGTTTGTGGTTGCAGTTCATGGTCTTAGAGACCGTGAACAGCCTTGGCGTCAGTAACCTCAGAAACCCCTCTGGACGCTTCTTGGTTCACGGGTTGTGGTTTTAGTTTACGGTCCTGGAGACCGTGAACTCCAATGGCAGACCGTAAACACAAGCTGTCTCCTCCTCTTTGACCGGTCTTTGATCCCTTTCTTCCAAATTTCGACTCCGGGGTTGGTTTCACCTGTTGGAATTTGAAGCACACTGAAACACAAGAAACCTAGCGTAAAACCATCCCTTTCGGAGCTCAATTTCAACAAACGTCAAAGAGAAACGAGGATAAAAAGTGTACAATTAGGCCCGAATCACTCCCCCACACTTAGATGTTTGCTTGTCCCCGAGCAAACCATTTCACACAAGGTAATATTTCAACCTAACAAAATGCTTTGGGGACAAATCAAAGGGCACAAAGTGGCAAATCTCAATGGCTATTAGCAATTAACACATGGACCATTGCAAGCAATACTGACATCCACCACAAACGGATGTCACCAAAAAAGGGCAAACGAAAAGTTCTCACCTTGTTCATGAATCAATGCAAGTCTCAACAAGATTACTTATCAACCACAACTAACCATGCATAACATTCAAGTCCAAGCAACATACGAATGGGCATCAAATGTCCTCACCGGGGTATGATATGACATGCAAAGCACGAATGAATCACTCACTCTCTTGACCAGGGGGGTCGGGACCTTTTTGGTGCAAAGAATGTGCACAATCATCAACACTCGGCCCTATCGTCTCTTCACCACCACGAAAACCTCTAAATGTTAGAGTTCACGGGACGGTTGTCATCACTAGCTTGTGAGGAGGTTTTAGACACGGGTTCAAATGACTGGCAATTGTATTGGACATGGGGAAAATGCTTTTTGGGTGGGGCAAACACATCATGAGGTCCTACATCTTCACCCTAAACCCGAAGGTTCTATGGTTTCGACAAAGAACCTTCCCTACAAACAATGGCCACTAGCATCGACCAAAAAACTTGCTTCTCCCTTCCAAACTATCACCCATTATGGACTACCTTTAAGCGCTTTTCATCGGTCTACTCTTTCTATCATATTTGGACTTGGCACTGAAGGAGTTCCAAAACAATGTGGGTGTTTCAAGGGCTTGAGTGCCAAGAAACCCCACTTAGAGCATACTCTTTGATTCTTTTGTGGCACTCTCTACTTTATTTATCTCGTTTTATTACCTATTTTTCTATTCTTTTTCTTTCTACTTTCCTTTTCTTTCTTTTTCTCTTTTATTTTATTTTTGAGGGGGTACTATAGAGTTAAACACTTGCCACATTATCATTAAAAAACAATGCTCTCTTTTAAGAACTCACTCCAACACTACTCTTTTCTCTTTCAGTCCTAGCAAGAACCGCACACAATCCTCCTATGTAGAACCTCAATGGAACTCAAAAGCGAGAGCTCCGGGACATAAGGACGACTCATGTATAGACACGAAGAAAGATGGGGGTGTCGTTCTATCAAACACCATTAAACTCACAAGCAAAAAGCTCTTACAAGAGAACGACCCCCAAAGTCACAAGGCTCAAAGGGGTTGACTAGGGGATCAAACATTTTGGGACAATCAACATTTGGGTGTGGACTAATCCTATGTCTCCATCATACTCACTAGTGACCCTATGATGTTACTCAGCATGGTAACAGGGATCTAAGCACACAAGAAGAAAACGATCGGCTCAAAACTCACATGGCTACCTAGTCACCCAATCATCCATTCCAATTTCACAAAATACAATGCATGACAATTGTAATCAATAAGTAATCGAGTCAAGGCATCCATTCATTTTTGCACACATGAGAACTAAACTTTTTCACTATCCTAATGCACCAATTAGTCATCATCATAGGACACACTCGATCACATGCAACAATTCAAGGTCCATGCCAATAAAGACGAGATTCTCCTACAAACCGGCCACTTTGATCATGCAAACATTGCTTGGAGCCCTCAATTTTTACAAATTTAGGCACACACACACACACACACACACTCGATCACATGCAACAATTCAAGGTCCATGCCAATAAAGACGAGATTCTCCTACAAACCAGCCACTTTGATCATGCAAACATTGCTTGGAGCCCTCAATTTTTCAAATTTGGGCACACACACACACACGCACGCTCGAGGCGAGGTGGGGCAAAAGGAATCGGCTCTGCCACATGTCTCACTCGTCGGCTACCTCTCACTAATTCGAAGGCCCCGACTCATCATCTGGAAGGAGGCCCTGGGCAACGAACGATCCGCTCGAGCATGTCGGTCTGCTGGTCAAGCCGGGAAGTGACGCCCGCGAACGTGGATCTCAAAATGATCCATCCTCTCCAAGAGGGGCACCCCGAAAGTGGAAGGACCGACACCTGATGGTGCTATTGCTGGTGGTGGTGGTGCATGGCGCTGGAGCGCGGGACGCCGAGGGCGCCCGGGAGCTCGAGCAGGTGGCTTCTCTGGAGGTGGGACCCCTGGTGGTAGAGGTAGTCCCTCAATGAACCGGAATGGTTCAAATGATCCCCGCATACGCATGGAAGGCAAAGTGCCCTCTTCGAACCCCGTACAGTGCCCCTCATATGTGCAGCCCGATAGATTTACATTCAAGTGACGAGTGAGACGGGTAATATAGGGCCCCATTGATGTGATATATCGTCGTTTTCCCCCTAGGGCTCTGGCAAAATAGGTGGCCAAGACGGAACCAAGATGAAGATTGCTAGATGGATCCACCATGCAAGCAAACGCAGTAAGATCCTCTTGGTTATCTTGTTCGGATTGTGATAGCTCGGGTAGAGGGAACGGGCAAGGAGTGCATTGATGATGCGCAACTATGGCTTGACTGTGGATGCCAACGTGAGTGCCAATCGAAACTGTGTTCGTCGGTGCTCCGGGAGGCAAAACCGTCGAAATGTTGCATTCATGTCGCAAACTCTGATGGCATCC